ATATGTGTGTGTGTGTGTGTGTGTGTGTGCGCACGCACGTGTGCATGTATGTATATGTACCGTGCTTGAATTGGGAAAAAATGGTGCTGAAACACACATTACTCACAGGTCAGTGTGTTTATCAGCCAGAATCAACAAATCATTAAGTATTACATTCTGAAATTCTACACTGAATAAAAGATACTAAGAGATACTGCTGATGTTCACAACATAAATTTATTGGCTCAAAGGGACAACCATTTGCTAAACTATTCATTTGTAATATGTAATAATCATATTTAATAATTTAATAATGTAATACCTGTATGATCGCATATTATGCATGTGTGTACTGATGTGTGTATATTTTGTGCTTTTATACTTCTAGTCTCTTTTTAAATATGTCTCTAACATTCAGAAGTAAACAAGCTAAGAATTTCATTGTGTTGTCACTGAACAAACAATAAAGAACTTTAACTTGATTCCAATTATTAGAGTAATCGAAGTTATTAGGTCTGCAATGGAGAACTCTGCAAAGGGTGATTAAAAATGATGGAAAAACCATCACTTATCTATGAATACAAAATATGTGTATGGTATGTGTGTCAAACTTTTCAGACTTGAGGTGACCTTGGGGAAGTGCCAGATAAAAGGTAATGAAATCCCATTGCTGAGCCTTGTTCAACAACAAAAATTACAGAATGTGTGGATAATCTAATGGTAACATTCTTCATTTTACAGGTTATCAATCACAGTTGCTGCCTGTAACTTGTATTATTTTGAGCAGTTTTTCCATTTCACTTTAGGTCCAAGCCTCTTGTTTTCTTCTTATTTTGTCTATATTACTGGTGTGATATACTTTAACTTTGAATTGAGATGTTAGCTGTTATGTGTTGTGGTGAAAGTCTGATATTAACCCAACTTCTCGTCGGTTTTAACTCTAACCCAAGAAGCAACTAATATCAGGGGAGCGCTGCTCTCAGGATCTGAACTGGTTTTGTGATGTTGTTGGAAGAGATGCCTTGTTATTCACAATG